GCCAGGGGTCTCATGGAGAAGTCACCCCACATTAGACAAGACTAGTGGGTAGACTTTTGGAGAACTTTCTTTGCTAAGACCTGGAAGTCTCTCAATTCTGATTGTGCAAGAAGGCTGGGAGACAGTGTCAAGTCGTATTTGGGGAAGACCCCAGGCAAAAGCCAAATATTCCCAGCAGGACCCCACATTTGCCTGCCCCACCCAAAAGTCTTCCCTCAGCCTTTCCAAGGAAGGGGTCTTCACAGGCCCAGGGAGGCAATTCCTGCAGAGGGAATCAAGAATGTGGGGTTAGGTGGGTGAGGGGCTGGATGGGTAGGGACGATTAACAGGGAGTTAGGTCCGTTTTCTTTTTTCTTATGGTCCCTCATTTTTAATTCAAGAAGCTGGGCGTGGACTTCAACCCCCATTGTATGTGAAAGAGAAAAAAAGCACAAGTTTGTTAAGATGTGATTTTCACTAAGGCTTTTTGACACAATGTCTTCTAAGACAAAATGGACCTTGTTGCTTCCTTCAAGGAAAGCAAAATTGGAGGGAGGTGGAGGTAGGGAGCAGGGCTAGAGTAAAATAATAAAAAGCCAACTCAGCAAGAAACGCCCACGAAAGCCAGAGGCTTGACGCGCCCGCAGCGGCCCACCGAGGTTACCTAGGAGTTGAAGCTCAAAGACCGAGGCTGGGACATAGGGCTCGGGGTAGGTTGTGTTTTCGTGACCATTTTGATTTGGTTGTAAGAAGTTTTGGCTGTAAGATTTGGTTGTGAGAATGTTGGCGCTACCACATCTCTTTATGCTCTTGCGACCAATTTTCTTTTCACCCGAGGGCCTAAGGCTGCAAACCCAGCCAGAATCGCCGCGCCCCTCACCCCTGCCCCCCAGTCTTCGATCCAGCATAATTCTAGAGTTGGGCCTCTTTCCCAGAGAGTCACAGCCACCCAGGTTGCCGACTTGGGGGCGAAAATCCTTATTTTTGGACCAATGATGATCCCTCAAGGTAACGCGACAGGAGATTAATAATCAAAATCCGGGTGTGGGCTGGGACCTTAGCACAGCTACCCAGGCGACAAAGGTCATTCTTCAAAGGTCATTCTTCGGGGCGCATGGGCGGTCTGGACCCCCGCGACATTCCTGGTAGACGCCAAAGGTGAGAGGAAAAAGACCCCAAAGTCCGCCTTGGCCAGAGGACGCTTCTTGCCCACTGCGGCTTCAGGACCACCCAGGACCCGGGTCGTCGGGGGAACAATCTGGAAGGATCTTAGAACAACACTGGAGGAGCGCTGCTCGGCTCGCCCCACCTCCCCGCGACGCCGGGACTGACTGGCTCCTTCAGACCAGACCTCTCGCAGCCTGCGACACGCGGCAGAAGGCGGACAGAGGATTCAAACCCGCCTATGAGCAGTGGGAGGGGCGGCGGGTGTGTGTGTGGGGGGGCAGAAGGGGGGGATTTTCGGGGGTGGGGTACGTGGGCAGGACTCGGTCTGAGAAGCGAACCGCCTCTTTTCCAAGGCCTCCAACGCCGAGGTTGCTCCCGGGTTATTTTGCTTTTCTGGGGAGACAGATGTTGACCTCTCTCCATCTTTGCGCGGCCCTGCCGTGGCGAAATCTTGACCCAACCATTTGCTTCCCCGCGCCACCCCCCACCGACGCGCTATCCCGGGAGTCAGCTCCCCAGGCCTTTAAACCTTCTGGAATGTCACACATGGAAACCTTTAGCAAATGTTTGTTAATGATCATAACAAAGGCATCATTCAAATTAGGCAGGTAATTACTACCAGAAGGACAACTGGGTGCTCTCTTGCTCATCCATTCTGGTCGCTTTAAACACTCGAGGAGTTTCGGCCCAAAGTTCCCTCCGTTCAGCCAGCTTTTCGGGCCCCTTTAAGCGCCTCTGAAACGAACTGTGAAGTTACCATTTGTGGGCGGGGAGCTCTGGGGCCCTGCATTTTGGAGACCCCGACCTGACTGGCAGTTTCTCCGACTGCAAAGCAGGCCTCCTGGATAGACTTCCTGCCTTGTGTCCTACCCTCTTAGATGTTTTGTAGAAAAGAAAGGGGGGGGGGGGGGGAAAAAAAAAAAAAAAAAAAAACCCTAGATCTCAAGTTGTCTTTATCAATAAATGGTACTAAAGCTTGCACCCGCTATTCCTTTTTATTCTTCATTCTGAGTTTTTTTTTTTTTTTTTTTGGTGGGAGGGAGGAGGGAGAGTCATACGGACGGGTTCATTATCTACAAACATTACGGTATCCTGTTAGCATTCCGAACAAGGGACTGTTCATATATTTGCCTTCAATGATTTCCTGAAGGAACATGTGGAAGTAATAGTGAGCAGAACAGTCACCCGAACTGAAGATGCACGAGAGGTAGCCGCGCTGAAGGGCTGCGGGAATGGGCCCCAAGCTCTGCCGCGCGCGCCTTCCCAACCCCGACATCCCAGGACCCCGTCCTAGTTTAGCACAGCACCCCCTTGGAGAACTTTCTGTGACCTTTCCCTGCCCTCTGTCCTATGTCCCCCCCCTCTCAGCCCCCCAAAGAGAGAGAAGGTGATGGCAGTCTGAAGGGTTAGCGTCACCTGGCTGCCCTAGTCTTCCGAGTTTGTGAGGGGGTGGGAATTGGGGGTGGGGTTGGTGCGAATGGCAAACCCTCGACCTAACGAGAGAATTCAAAATTAAAGAAGGCGAGGAAGGTGAACGAAGTCCTTTTCCTCAGTCCTCTCTCCAAGGACCCACTCCGCCCAGGTCTGGTTTCTGGAGCGTCAGCGCCCCCTTTCCCTCACTAGCAAGATTGCTCGTTCCGGGTTCTGGCTCTTGCTTATCGCCCTGGGCACAAAGTTTGGGGCTCTGCTTTCACCCCGAAAGCTCTAGTCGGGTCCAAACGCACCGCGCGGCAGGGCGCGCCGGGAGGGTAAGAACGTCTCCTCCCCCTGAACGCGCTGGCAGTAGGCTAGCCATAGTGGATTCCCCAAACGCCCAAGCCAGAACCTTTTTGTGTGCGTGATAGAAACCAGGGCAACCTCACCCAGATAACCCGAAAACAAAGGCAGGGTAAGATAAGTGGCTGTAAGGGACTAAAGGTCGTGGCGTCGGAGAACGTTCCAAACCTACGCAGACACTCGATTCTTTGTACCTCCTTTCATAAAACAAAACCCAAAACCCATCACCTTCATATTGGACTCAACAGTTTGCCTAATCCTATTAAAGGATTAGCGAGTACAAGGCACTTTCCCCCAAAGACCCCTGGTTCAAAACGACGACGGACCTCCTGGACACCTCTCCGAGGGTCTAATTGAGCGAGGAGTGTCCACAGGAGGAACATTTCTAAATTTCAGATTTTAAACACTTTTGAGCATTCACTGCAATTTTACACGTCCTTTTTGTACCTTTTGAAGAGAATACAAAACAATATAGCCGCGTCCGAAAATATCCTCAAAATCCGGGGGAAACTCATTCTGGAAATGATGGGCAGTTTATGTTTTCACGAACATCTTTCCCGGCAGAGAATCTACACCTCCCACTTCCACCACCCCCACCCCATCTGGTCTGCTTCTCCCCGCCCCCCAGTTGTTGTGGAAGCCTGGGGGTTGGGGCTGGACCCCCTGATTGCGTAAGAGCAAAATCCGAAGGCGCAATCTGGAGGCTGGGATATTCTGAATGTACGGAGTCCGAGGGTAACTTTTATTTTGAAGTGGAGGGGGGGGGCTTCATTTCCTGACAGCTATTTACTTAGAGCAAATGATTAGTTTTAGAAGGATGGACTATAACATTGAATCAATTACAAAACGCGGTTTTTGAGCTAGAGGGAGAGAGACAGAGGGAACTACAGGAGAGGACTAGAGGCCGCGGACATTCTTTTTACTTCATATGTAGGATTTTCATTTCCAGTTGACATAGGAGAAGAAGGTAAGGGAGGAGAAAATATAATTTTTTTTTGTTTGTTGGTAAGCGAAGTCCCCGATCAGGCAGGCCTTTTGGGCTGGAAGAAGTGAGTAATTTTCCTCAAAGTTTGGGCAGTGAGAAACAACAATACAAAACAAAAACGAGTTGAATTCCAGTTGTATGTCCAGAGAGTAATTTATTTTGAATAAACTTCATTTGGAGGGAAAATAGCCCTGGAGTTCGAAAGTCTAGGGATTAAAAAACCCCTACATTCTCAGACCTATTTTTAAAGCAGCGTTTTTCTAACAGCTCTGTGGCCTCCTAACAAATTGTTTAGGCTTACATTTTTGAGGTTTCTTTTGGAGATGGGGGTTGTATTCGTGTGTACTGGGACGAGGCCCAAGTAATGCTGGGAGTGGGGACAGAGGTGTTTGCCCTCGTCTTGGCAGTGGGTCCTGGAAGGCGACAGCTTTTTAATGAGTATTTTCATTTCTCGCTCGCGGTTTGGCGGGACAGCGCTGTAGCGGGTGGTGTGGGAAGTTGCCGGGAAGCCGCGGGACGAGCGGCGGGAGGAGTGCCGAGCGCGGCTCAGAGGGGTTTGCCGAGTGGGGCGGCGTGAAGGGCTCGGCTGGAGGAGTCGGGACCTTGGGTGCTGGCCGGGTGTTCGTAGCGCCCACCGAGAGCGCGATTCTAGACGGCGCAGCGCCGGGTGCTGGTCCCGGGCAGACTCGGCACAACCTTGACAGCTGCGAGAAGCCAGAGGGGTCCCGGACTTGGGCAGGCGTTTGAGGAGCCCCCAGTGTTTGTGGGGTCAGTTAAGTGCTAAGTGGAGGCTGCCGCAGCTCTGCAGTGCGCTCAGGTTGCGCGCCCTAGCTCTGGAGCGACTGCGGCGCAGGCTGCGCGGGCAGGAGGTCTGGAGTAATGACAAACACATTTGGCCCGGAGTGAAGAAGTCGTCGTTGCCTCGCATTCCAGTAACTGGGATTTGAGGAATTTCGAACTGCGCTCCAAGGGGCCCTTACTGTGCGCGGTGGTCCCCACCCCCACCGGTCTCTGCGCTCCCTCATTCTCGGTGGAACGGTATCTGCACAGCCCTGGGCTCTGCTGTTGCCGCGGAAAGCAAAGAAGAAAAGTCATCAGAAAAGTGCGGAACTTTTTGTAGGGAAGTTAGGGACGATTCCCAACAGAGAAACTTACTTCCAGGTAAGACTGAAAGGTGGGAGTCTAACTGCCCTCACCACAGCCCAGGGGACCCCCGTGTCTTGGGCGCCCCTCGCGTGCCCAGGAAAGTGACACTCAGCCTGCAGTCGCTCTGCACTGCTTCACCCTCGCCAGTTACCCTGTTTCTTCCCTTCGTCGGCCTCCTTTAGAACCATCTCCTCGCACCTCCTTCCTCCGCCAACTGTCCCGTGGAAATCTGCCTTTGTACGTGAGGTTCACTTCTCCCGGCAGTGCCTGGGGAGCTGCGGAACAAGTGGGATCAGCGGTCTGTACGGAAAGGGTCGCGGCCAGCTCAGAACGAGAGCGTGACGCTATTCGAGTGAGGCCGCCCGAGAGTTAGGGGCCGGGGCTGCCTGGCCAGGTGTTCGGGAGCGGTCAGTGGCCCGGCCTCGCGTTCCAGTCGGAAAGGAAGTGCCCTCTATCTGCTGTTTCCCCTGCAACCAGAGCGCTGTTCCCGCACCTCGAGCCTCCTGGCCAGCTAGTACTTCAGGACGCGCAGAAAGAGTGCCTGGGAGAATGTGGCGTTCACTACATGTATAGGGCAAGGCAAACCCAGGTTGGAGAGGACCGTGGATGGCCCTTGATCAGGTCGGGACGGCTTCGCGCCTGGCTGAGCTGCCTGGAAAAGCCCGGGGCTGGGCAGTGTGGGAAATGGCTTTTTGGCTCCACAGCCTCATTGCTCAACGTTTTGGACAGACTCTCCTTGCCGCGGTCGCTCTTGACCACTAGGCAGAGGTTTAGAGCCGGGAGACCTCTGGGGTATACGGGGCACAGCAGTTAGCCACTCAGCTCACCGGACTAACTCCAGAGCCCAGTGGGCCCCAGGAGAGGAGTCGAGCCCAACAGGGTTTGCGCGCCCCCGTCTGATACTGTTCTGAATCTGGTTTTGAACCCCCTCCCCCGCATCTGACCCACCCATCGGCCCCCGGCGATGCTGCTTTGCATCCTTCCCTCCATTCCTCCTCTTTTGGGCGAAGGAGGACCCTTCTCCGCCTCCCTGACAGACGGGGGCCGCATCAGCCTAGCTTTGACGCCATGTCAGTCACTACTTCGGATTTTCCAGTCTTGCTTTTGGTTTGACCCGAGTGTAGTAGGACTCCAGGACTGGCGTCCTAAGATTCGCGGGAAAGTGAAGGGGGTGGGAGAAGACACTAGGCTGGAGCGAGTAGCTGACCCTCGGTTCTTGCACCGAGGAGTATAGTATGAGGAGGCTCCAAAGCACAGACCCTGCTCTCGGCCCCAGGTCCATTTTCTCTTGGGGCGCGGATTGGGAAGGGGTGCAGGGGTGGGAGGAGCCTCGGGCTGGGCTTTCCAGCTGCTAACGCGTCTGGCGCCGAGGCGGGCCCATTTTGTGCCTCCCGGGGACCGGCCGTGGGCGGCGCGCAGCGCAGGGACGCGTCCTGGGGACGTGGTGACTAGCGCCTTCCTGCAAATCCCAGCGCCTGGGACTCCCTCTTGACTCCGGGAGCTGCGACAGGGTTACTTGATGCCGATGGAAAAGTAGCAATTCTGGGGAGCGCTAAAAGCCAGCGTGGTAACCGAAAGGTGCGGCTCTCAGCGTCGGTCGCGTCAAACTTCGCGGGGTGCGAGAATAACATTAGTCGTCTGGGGTGGAGAGGGAAGGTGTTGGGGTCCGCCACCCACGCGGGTTGTTGCGCGCGCTCCAGTCTGGGCTTTGCTGGTGCTGGTCTTTTGCTGAAGTGGCTCTGAGGCATTTCCTTTTGTTTTAAACCAAGCAGAGAGCCAAGGATCGGTTGGAAAAGTAGATTGGAGGGGAACTTGGGGCGCTGCCTTCCCGCTTCTGCAGACACTCTCCTCTCCCCACCTTCTTTGCAAAGGGGCGCGAGAAGAACATGCAATTAGCGTGAGCTGGGCAGCCGCGGCACTGGATGGCGTCGGGCAAGTTGGGTACTGGTGAGGGCTTGGTTCTTAAAAGCTGGGGGGGAAGCCAAGTCTTGCCTGGCCCCGACCTTCTCCGCTAGCAGCGGGCCCCCGCCTTGTCACTTTCAGACCGATAGGAGGCGCTGGCGCACGAGTGTAACCCTAAACCCCTTGCTCCCTCTCCACCCCACCCGGCCCCTCTCCCTCCACCCAGTCCGGCCCCCTCCCAGGTCTCAGCCGAAAACAATGCAAACGCCCTGCGTCGTGCCTGGGGCGCAGCGGCCGCTGCAACTCTGAGCCCCGGGTGCGGTGGGCTGGGGCGCGGAACCCGGGAGTGGGCGCTCGTTACTGCCAACCCTGCTGGGACTTAGCGGCCGAGAGCGTGGAGGCGGTAGGAGGGGAACGACCCACGCTGTAGCGGTGCAGAAGGGCGGACGCTGCCAGCGTGGAACCTCCCGGGCGAAAGTGGGCGAGCGGCGGTCGGGGCTGTGCTGTCGGGGAGCGAGAGCAGAGCCTCTCGGACTGGTGGGGGTAGGCGAGCCGGGTAAGATTCGCGGAGCTGCTGCGCCCTCTAGCGGGACTTGGGAGCGCGGTCCCGCGTCCCGCCAACCTGGGGTGGTCAGACCTCTAGCTGCGGCTCTCCAGACCCCCTAAAGACTAAGCAGAGGCACCTTTCCCCCCTTCTGGAGGCCTCAAATGCTCACCTCGAAGGCGCTCTATAGGCACGGGTGCAGCTGGGTGAGCGAGAGGGGGCGGAGATGGTGTGTGTGCATGTGAGATGGGAATTAAATGTAAGAGAAACGGAGAAGGGAGGATGGAGGGTCCTCCTGGGCGCTTTGGGGGGGTCGGGGTGGGGGTAGTCGCCGACGCTTGGTTTCAAGCCCCTCGTCCGCTCTCCCGCAGCGCAGGCGGCTTGTTGCTGTTTGTTTTACTCTGCATTATTGTGCAATGGGAACAGTCGTTTCTAATCAGCCTGCGGTTCCCGGGCTGCGCGGCCGTCGTGGCCTTCGCGCGGAGAGTTTCCGAGGGCTGACAATGGCTGCGAACAGACTGGGAAACGCGGGCCAGGTAACGGCGCCGCGCCCCAGCCCCGTTTGGCCAGGTCGTCGCCCCCCTCGGACTGGACGGAAACTCCAGTTGGGAGTTGGGAGGCGCGCCGGCAAAAAAAAAAAAAAAAAAAACTGAACCGCGCGTTCTTCTGTCGAGAGGCTTTTTATTTGCTGCTGCACGTCTGCATTCTCTTACTCTCCGCTGCCTAGCGGAGCCTCTCGCAGTGATGATGGTGATGGTATCTGTCCTTTACCGTTTTTTCCTGGGGCCCCGCAGAAAGTCATTTTCGGTAGTAGTGTCCCTATTTGTGCTGCCATTCTGCGGGCCTCGAGCTGCAGTCCCCGCGAAACTTGAAAGTACAATCAAAGAAAGATGGAGATTGGAGGTTAAGATTTGGGATCGTTCAGCCTGGAACCAGCAACAGCGTCTTGTATCCCTGAGAAGCGCCCCCCACCCCCACACTCCCGGACGCACGTCCCTGGACCAACACTGCCATCTGCTGGTCATACTTGAGAACTGCAGTGACCTGCCGGGATAGGCTTTGCGGATGCAGTTTTTTGAGTTTTAAGACCCAGTAAAAGATGACAACTGATTTTATTTTCTTTTAAAGCTCCAAGGATCATTAGGAAGACAAAATTTATTTTGGGAACTCTGCAGATTTTAGCCTTAGTCTTTTTCATTTATGTAATGATCAAATTGCTGGCTTAACGCATCTGATTGTCAGAGAGAACTTGAGAGGAAGGTAGGCATTTCCCTTTGTGAGTGAAATTCTGAGTATATGTGTGTGTGTGCATGAGAGGTGGCTTGATTCTAGAACTCACATGTAGTTCAAGAGCACTACACGATACACTGCCTAAGGTTGTCCTGTTAGGTGGCATCCTTATTTATGGCTATCCAAAGTGGAATTTTAATGTCCTATGTTTAAGTATCCACTGCAGGGTGAGCAGAGAGGTTTATGACCTCAGATCATTCCTTAAATGCTCCCATGTAAAAATGCTGTAGCCCCCACCTATCACTGGAATGTCTAATGGAGCCCAGAGACACCAAAACATCACAACTGGCTCTGGTAGAGGGCAGAAATTGGTAAACACGCCCTTGGTGAAGTTACCACCAGTGTACACCCGCACTTGGATTGCCTGGGCTGGAGTTATGAGACTGAGCAGGACATTTGTCACAGGGAACAGTAGGACATGTAATTTTCACAGTTAGAATTAACTTAGGAGAGCTGAAATTAACTAAACCTCAGAAATCTGAATCTTGAAGTCGTCAGTGGCTTTGGGGACTGGGAGAGTGTCTCCTGTGGCCTTTAATCATGCCAGGGTGGGGTGAAATTCAGTATCCAAAGCTCTGCACACGATGTTTTGTACAGCTGCTGATCGGGAAGCTAGCTGTCTGACTCTATAAGAATGCAGAGCTCTTCTGGAGAGGAGCCTGGCGTTGTTAGCTCTGTTTACACTCTAGCTTGGCAGTTGTCTTTGCTTAGAGGGTCCACTTGATGGCTCTTTACATCTGTTTGCAGGGATAGGTTGGCAAGTGCTAATAGATTTGCTCTGTTTATGTGACTATAAGTATTGATTTTATTTAAAACAATCTTGATAACTACACCACCTGGGCTGAAGGGGAATTCACCCAGGCAGGTGATTCAGGACCAGTCACATGGTTTCTGGGACCAGCTGTTCACCGTCTGGAGAAGTTGATGTAGCCACAGTGACATCCCTCTCATCTAAAACTGTGCGGTCCTGTGCGCTGACTACTAGCTGGCCATTCATGAGCACCTGTGACCTGTTTGCTAACTACACACCACAGAAGGACATTTCTTGACTGCCTACGGCATATAGTCTACCTCATGAGGCAGGCCTGGGGATGTTGTTGACATGACTACCTGCATTTATATAATGCAGTTCCTTCTGTGTGTCCTGATGGTGATTACCTGACTATCTGTCTGGCTAACTCTGCCTGTGATAACATCATACTATGTTGACGCAAATGTCTCGACGTATGGTCACAATGCCCCCATTCCTATCTGACCCTCCCGATTTCATTCCTCATACCATTGTTGCATGGTCATCGTTTACTAGTTCTGTATGACTTTAGTAAATGGCACAAGAACTTCTACTCAAGTAGCAGTCTTGCCTTGCTCCACGATGGCTGTGTCCCTCATCTGTCCCTTCCTCCTCAGTTTCTGGCAGGAAAGTGGCAAGGAAGTTCCTGTTGTAACATAAACATCTTTGGAGTCTGCAGAAAGACAATATTAAAACCAATAGCTGCAGTTTCTGAAGTCCTTTCAATTTAATGATATTTAGTCTTTATAATTAGGTAGCAAGCCCAGCCAGCAAGTCCGTTTATTAGACCGTTTACACAGGAAGAGACTGATGTTCAGAGAGATGGATCATGTCAACTATGGGATCACAGCTAGTCCAGTGTGCTTTCCATTCTGAGAGAAGGAAGGAGAAGGAGGAAAGAATGGGGTGTGGTGGAGAGAACCCCAAATCACTTGCCTAAGAGTGATTTCAACCAGAATCCCTGTTCTTCCTCTAATGGTGGCAGTGGCTTTTTGAGTTGTGATTATGGAAGATTGGGACTGAAGCCCCAGGTTATAGTATGAGAGCTGTGATTGCTTTAAAAAATTTTTGGATGAAATCTTTTGTTTTCCTTGCAAAGTGATTTGCTCCTGCTGGCTCATGGTGTATATATTGCACATTGTATGTGTATGCATGGATATTATATAATGTATATTTCATATTGCATTACAACATGTAATTGCAATGTAAATTACTTGTATTTGCACTTCTGACTTTTGGATGTGCTCCAGGATCAGGGTTTAAAAGATGAACATTTACTCCCTAGGTAGAAAAGCACCGGAAATAGTAGTGGGGCGCCTAGAGATTCTCACTACAGGGCCAGGGAAGCTTCCATCCTCTTCTGTGGTTTCCCTTTACCTCCCTGTAGGACAAACACTCTGTGATTATTGAGGAGTTAATTGTCTGAGTTACCGATGAGAAAAGACATGAAACTTCACAAATACTCCTGGGTTTGGAGCCAAGGGGAACTGCTCTTATCAGATAAGGGAGTTTGAAATCTTAAGCAAACACATGTTGATTCTCAGTATTTGTATCATTATCATGCCCTCTGAGACCCTGTTTTCATTGCCCACTTGGCATGGCAGTCAAGAAGCCTCCCTGGCAGGGGATCTGCTCTATCAGGACACACAGAAGGAAATCTGGTGGGGCCTGGCCCGGGCAAAAGGCTGCCCAGAACTGCCCTGTAAAAGCAGCAAGCCCCTCTCTCAAGCTTGGGAATGCTTTAAAGATGCATCCTTGGCAAGCTCTGCTAGAGAAATACAGGATATAAGTGTGATAAAACCTAAGACATCAAGCTGGCTCTGGAGGGCTCCTTTGAAGTGCGCTAAGTGGATTATCAGTGGGAGGTTGATATTTATATGTACAAACACACAGGCCTTTACTGCTAATTGCGGTAAATCAGGCTGGCCAGCCTGGCTCTGGGGCCTGCTGTGCCCGCTCATTGCAGCAGAGTGGAAACCCTGCCTCCCCGGGCACATGCCAGGATCCTGGGAGCCCTCAGCCAGCCAACACTGTGCAAATTGCATTTGGGTTCCCAGCACTGCAATTATGCTCCTGTCACTGGTGAACAGAGAAAGAAAGCAGGGGTAATTTGCATGAGGAAATTGTCGGGGGTGGGGAGATGTTCAGGGGGCTGATACACTGTCCTTCCCTTGAGAGAGACCATATGGTACATTGGAGAGAGTGTAGCGTTTGGATCACACAGACATGGTGTGAGAAGTGTGGCTTTCCCCCCAGCTGTGTGTCTTCTGATCATTTGCTAACCCTCTCTGAGCCTCAAGGGTTACTTCGTAGAAATCCAGGGTGTCATAGGCTTATTATCAACAAACACAGCATACACAGAAAAAACTTTGACTTAACAAACACGGATTTCTTGCCTTGGAGAAGTCAGAGAATTATATTTTTTCTTTCCAACTTCCCAACAAACAGCTAGGGCTTCCCTCAAGGACATGCTGAATTTCTCCTTTCTTGCTTTGCATTTCTGACAGTTTGCTCAGGAGTCAAGAGCACAAGACCTCAGCTTCCAAAGCCAGGAATGGAACAAGTTTAATCCATGAGCTCATTTCGTTGCCTGGGCCAGGGACTTATGCCCCTTAGGGACCCAGTGGCACGGGCCCAGGCGTAGGTGGGTCCTTTTAGGGCCTGTACCCCTGCCCAGATCCTTCAGTGGGGCCTGTGCAATTGAAGCTCAGTTGCTCAACGGCTTCAATACCCCTTTACTGCCCCTTTTCGCGGACGTAAGACTGTCACCAGTGACTCCATGGGGGAGGCGAGGAGGACATAAAACAGGCGTGGGGCCTCACCACAAAGAGGGTACAGAAAAGGCCTTGCAGCCAGCGGGCTGAAGGGACTCCTCAGTGGCTTATGCTGGGGCAACAGAGGCCCTTTCCAGCTTCCTTGCGCCCCTCTTCTGCTCCCCACAACATGTCTTGCCGTTGGTTGCTCTCTGTGTGATTTAGACACCATCAGTTTCCACCTGTCTCTCCACTTCTTTTTTATTCCCCAGATTTTGTTACAGGAAACCAAGGACCTTTTATGCTAACATAATCCTCCGGCTCCTTTGAATTTTCTCCCATGGTCTTCTGCATGCACCAAACACAGGGATTTAGCCACATTATTCTCTCCCATTACCTTCGTTGTCTTCACATTTTTTACTCCTCCTGCCATGCCTGTGCCCTTTTACCCCTTCGCCCCCCCAGCCCCACCCCCCAAGTTGCCTTCCTCACCTTGTTAAGCCCAATTGTGAATGTTCAGCTCCTAGAAGAACTTGGCTGGGGGTGGGGGGCTGAAAGAAGCCCGGGCTTGAGACTGGTATGAACCTTTCTCCCCATCGCCAAGTGACATCACCTCTAAGTGACAGTGGTCAGTGGTGTAACAAGGTGGTCCGCAGGAAAAGGGGAGGTTCCAAGTTCCCTTCCCCACCCAAAGGAGGGTGGAGCTGGGCAGGGAGGAGAAGAATCTGGAGAGGAGACTTAGGAGGAAGGAAGCAGGACAGAGAACCAGAGGGAGACTAGAGAGACATGCGAAGAAGCCGCTCTTGTTTCCTGGCCCTGGACTGGGTGAAACAGATGTGGGTGAGGGACCCGTGGGGAGCTTCACTGTGTCAGGGTTTATCTTGATCTTGATTTTATTCTCTTCTTCTCAGACTTGCCTGGCCACTTCTGATGCTTTTCTATGGGTCACTGCTGAAAGGTGCTTTAGACTTGTGAAGGGCTTTTGGGTCTTGATTTGAGCCTATCCCTTTGGGGTGGATTTTTATCCATGAGGGGATGGGTAACTTTAGGTGTTTAATTTAGAAACTATATTCTCTTTCTGTATTGCACACTCATTCTATTAAAGTTCCTTTCCATTAAAGGTCTTACATGTTTTGTCATCCTGCATTGGACGGCGGAACCTGTTTAGAGCGGGCAGGCTGGGGGTCTTGGGGTGCCCCTTTCCCTGCCCTGTAACAGTGAGACTTTAAAAAATGGTGAACTAAAAAAAAATATTTGCTTTAGTTCAAGCATCTTCCAAAGGTGTGGAGGATGTGACTTTGTACTTTCTGTAGCAAAAGCAAGCGATAATACTCTTTGAGTAAAGACAGCTCAAGTTCAGAAGTTTTGGAAAAAATACATGATTATTTTCCAAACTCTTAATTTGAATGGGTTTGTAAGAACAGTTTCCCTGTGTTCTGGGACAGTAAAAGGAGCCGTCTCAGAATTTGAAAGCTGCATGGAATCCACACAGGTTTCAGCTTTAGGTAGCGCCTGTCACACAACCTTGGGTCCTGGCCAGTCTCTCCAACTCTTTCATTTTTGACATCTTACTATTTTACTTTATTTTTTAAAATTTTCACTTATTTTGTTTTTATTTTCCTGTTTGTCCCTTCCTAAGTTCTGCCTGCTTAATTTATTTTTAGATTTTTATTGCTTCCACCAAAACACCTGTGCCCATACTCTATATGCCTCCCTCTCCCATCCCCTCTACCTTTGCCTCCATTCCCTCTGGTATCTTCTTATTTTGCTGAGTTTAAATATTATTTTTTTCTATTGTTTGTAGGTAATATTGTTTGTAAGACATCTGATAGCTGTCTTTTGCTTTTTGGCTGATTTCATTCAACATTGGTGCCAAATGTCACCACTTTATCTCTTCTTCACAGCTGTGTAATATTCCACTGGCATTTCACTGTTTTAATTGTGAAGTTAATTTAGGACACTATTAATTGAAATGATGCTGCCACCATTTTCCATACTATAACGCACAAGAAGAACCAACCTCACAGGTTGGCATATTGACTAACGCTGTTTCTGTTTGACTTTTGCCTTTTCAGTTTTCCACAACTATGGGGACTTCCCATTGGGCATTCCTGGTCCTAGGCTTTCTCCTCACAGGTATGGATTCTGGATGTCTCTGAGCTCATTGTCCCAGGGAGGAAGCCTTATTGTCTAAGTTCTTTGCTCCAAACACACACACTGCCCAAAAGTGTGAATCGAGGTAGAAAATAGTGTGGTCCAGAACGATCACAAACCCTTCTGTTCCTTTTGCTGGATGACAATAATTCCATTTAAAAAAGAATGCCTTTATGTTTGTGTATAGGTTTAAATCTGGCATTGAAATGTGAGGAGTAAGGATGTAAAAGTGTCCACCATCCTCTCCTTCTCCTGCAATGTGGATTTCTATTAGCGGTAGATCAGAGAAATTAAGAATGTTCAAATAAGATACACGAAGGGAAATTTCCCCCGCAAATTATACCTGTCTTAAGTCATACCCATCTTAAGTAGAAGATGTTTAAATTGCTAGAAACTCTCAGAGCCACCTTATCCCTTAGAATTGAACTGATATAATGTTTGACTCTTGGGGACTCTTACTAATTCTTTTCCACTAGGGGGATGCCATTGGGGCCGTTTGTTGAAATATTCATCTAGAGATATATGCATTACAGATGTTCACCAGGAAGCCATTGTTTTGCTAGTCTGTGAGTGTCTTAGGTCTAATTCCTTATGGATAAGGCAGAAGTAAGTGATTTAGTAGTTCTAAACTTGTAAGGGTGCCCCAATCCATAGGGCCATAGATGACCCAGATATACTTAAATCTCCCTTAAGAAACTACAGGAATCATGGTGCGTGCATATTGAAGTTGGGTGGGATTCCCACATTGGGCTCCAAGGGAGTTTAGAGACCATTCACTGATGATTAGAGGTATCTAATATCTCTTCTATCAGGACTTTAGACAGGGAAGCTAGACTGAAATTTTAGGTTCGAAGAAGAACGTAAGGTTTTCACTCCTGCAACTTGCTATTCAGTTTTGAATTAAAACCCACCTCCCCCGGCTTTGGCTTCTGGAAACCATTAGAGAGAAGGCATGCCAGATTGTATGAGAAACGGGAGACGCGCCATTCTTGAGCACAAGTCTGCCTTGTGCTTTGTTGGGCCAATCTCCCTGCCCCTGTTCTCCTCCCATTTCTTACTGAGGGAAGCCTCTGGGGGGGGACATGCACCCATATGAACCCATATGTGCTTGAGCCTATGCCATCTTGGGATATTTTATGGTCACAGATAAGAGTCTAAAATATGGAATTGGAATCAGACGCCCTCTCTCCGTTGGAGTGCTTGGAGGGTGGATCTAGGGGGGCAGGGGGGCCTTTGAGGTCTTTGGAGCATTTGCTGCTCTCAGCAGATGCAGCGGCTGTCACAATGGAGGGCCTTTCATGGGCATCCAGGCTAACGGTTTGGGCGCAGAAATGGTCATTGTTGATCTGAGCGGCCACTGTGGCTTCTCTCAGCTCTGGGTGAGACAGCCCCTTCTGGTGCCTCCTATTCAGAGTGCGTTTCCTTTTGCAGGGCCGAGCCTAATTCTCTGCCAGCTTTCATTCCCCGCTATCCTTCCAAACGAAAATGAAAAGGTTGTGCAGCTGAATTCATCCTTTTCTCTGAGATGCTTTGGGGAGAGTGAAGTGAGCTGGCAGTACCCCATGTCTGAAGAAGAGAACCCCAATGTGGAAATCAGAAGCGAAGAGAACAACAGTGGCCTTTTTGTGGCCGTGCTGGAGGTGGTGGGCGCCTCTGCAGCCCACACGGGGCTGTACACTTGCTATTACAACCACACTCAGACAGAAGAAGGCGAGATTGAAGGCAGGCACATCTACATCTACGTGCCAGGTGAGCCTCTGGGCCCGCCCCCCTGCGTCTCCTGACCTTACGTGATGAATGTCCGGTTTTCACTCTGGGGGCTTGTGTGTCATTACATTCGAATGAAAATAACCTGCTAACTGTTAACTGCATAGAAGTGTCTTCTTTTTTAATTATCAAAATAATAAATATTTATTGGAGAAAAGTTTTACAAATGCAGGAGAACGCACAAGGTTAAATAAAGATCATTTGTGATGTCACCAAGGAATAGTCACTGTAAAGGTTTGGAACTGTGTTGCATTTTGAAAACCATTTTTATTATGGCAGATCCTTGATGGCTTTTGTGCAAAACATTCGAAATGAACTCATTTCTATTCAGTTCACTCAAGCTCAACAGATACTTATTGTGTGTTGGGGATTGTACTAAGTGCCGGGGGTCACAAACATCAATCAGGTGGGCCCCATTTTTGCGCTGCTTATAGTGCATGATAATAGCTTTCAAGTGACCGCACGGTGCTTCAGATTCAATCAAGCATATATTTACTCTTGATAAATTGCAAGGGATTGTTCTTTTCTTTAATTAAAATTTAGGAGCAATTCCCATACTATTGATGTTGCCTCTTGTCCTTGGAGAGGGTAGATGCCAGTTAAGAGTAAGATGGGGGGACTCCCTGGTGGCGCAAGGGGTTAAGTCTCAGCACAATGAAACTGTGGGCAGCCATTGCATGAGTTTGATCCCTGCCCAGGGAGCTGACCCACAGGGCACAGCAGACCTCTCGCCTGTCTTGCCAGCTGCTCCCCTCAGCAGGGCATTTAAGCAGATCTGCCTGTTCTGCTCCCCACTCTGGTGAATCCTCTCACTGCCCTGTACCTCTGGCCTGTAGCCCAGCTCTTGTATGCATAAATAATCTTTTTTTTAAGAGCAAGATGGGATTAAGCATGAAAGATGATGTTAGGGGAGAGCCTGTGAGGGCTGGTTGAGAGGGTTCCTGCAGAGCCCTGGGGCTGCATGCTAAGTGTGGCCCTGAGTAGCGGAGGGAAGGAATGGGCTGTAGACGAGTCCGAGACCTCTGCGTAAGGCGGGTCCAGGAGTCCTCCACTTGCCCATTGTCATCTGCTGGAAATTTCCCCGAGGACGAGGCCTTGGGTTGCGATGGACTTCAGCGCCCTGCTTTGGACAGTCAAGCCCTATAGCCAGGGTTCAGGACTTTCCTTTAGCAACCATCCTTATTGAGCCAAGAGCTTGAGATGCATTTGGTCTACCAGCCACCCTGTGCTCTCCTTCATGATTCTCTTTGTCATTTCTGTTGTCTGTACTTAGATCTGTACTCTACCAATGCCGCTCTCCCTATGCGTGAATCTAAATCTGTGTACCTGTAGCTATGGCTGGACCTGTACCTATACTGACACCCATCTTTGTCCTATATCATCTGTACCTATATGTGTATCTCTCTGTACATATGTCTGTGTAACTCCACCTATACCTACCTATGCTGTACAGGTATGTGTTGACTTCTACCAAAGACAGTTGTTAAAAAGAGCATGACATTATTTAAACACTGCACACTTCTAAGTAAGACTTGCATCACAGAGGAGGTCCTGGCTGATCTGTCATGGATACCAACTGAAATTAATTTGCCGCTTTGTTGGAAAGCTTCAAGATATGGGAATTCTAAGTACAAATTCTAGTATGTAAGATGGAGGAATTAAAAAAAAACTATGGTTGGGATGCTTGGTTTGAAACAAACACATTCAAACATTTACAGCTCTTGTTTTCCTTGCTGCTTTGGCAGAGGGAAAGCCAAGGAGGTTTGTGAAGTATATCTTCCTACCTTGCTGTGTTTTTATGTTCTTAAAATTGGCTCCCCTTCCTGCTCTGTAATCATGGGCATCCAGCTAGATGTCCAGCTTCTTCACTTCTTTCTCCATGCTCCAATCTATAAATTGTTTCAAAAGGGGTAGCTATTTAGACTGTCACCCCCCACACACACTTCATTCACACATAAATGCTACACTTAGACTCCTCTAAATTTGGAGGTGACCTCTGACCTGCTGTAAAGAGGATGGTGGGAACAGGGGTCTGTTAAAGGTATATGAGTCCTGGGATTTTGATTCCCTTAAAATGGTCTAAAAGCTTTTCTCATTTCTCCCTCCCCCCCTCCCCCCGGTACAAACATCATTGAGGTCAAACCATTTGGGATCTTTTTATTTGCAGTTACAGAGATTAAAGGGCCTTTCCGACACTGATCCTTCAGTCACTATATTAATTCTTGACATCATGGCTTAAATAACTGGTTTTTTCAAAAGGAAAGTCTCAGATTATGAAATCAACAAATTTCTTTTATGACTCAAGAGACTATTTTTTCCTAAATAAGTTTTTGTACTACTTTTCAATGATACTGATTATAAGAATTCTTAAAAGCAATTCATAATTTTTCTTTTTTATTTTTAAAAACTTTTACATCATTCTTCATTTTGTGCATTTTTTTCATCTCGGTTGTAATCCCCGTGGGCTTCCTATCACCAATTCACCCCTGTGCCTCACCATAGTCCTGTGTGCTCTTCCCACCCCACTTTTGATCCCGTTTCCCTCTCCACCACCATCAAATGTCTCTGGTTTATAGTTGTTCGTTGTTTTTCATTTTTACTTTATTACAATTTCTCCCCACCACCCTGCCCTGGTCCTTTATACTCCTGCTGTGAGTGAAACCATCTGATATTTTTCTTTTTCTTTCTGTCTTATTTCTTTTTCTTAAGGATTTATTTATTTGTGCATATAGGACTGAGGTACAGGCCAGAGGTGCAGGCACGGTGAGAGGATTCACCAGAGACAGAGTGGGGAGCAGAACAGGCCAACTGACAAAGTACACTGCTGAGGGGAGCAGCGGGCAGGTCAGGAGAGATCTGCTACGCCATGTGGTCACCTCCGGGGCAGTGGGGATCCAACTCATGTGGAAGTGGCTTTAGCTTCTTAGTGCTGTGCTTTAACCCACTGCGCCACCAGGGAGGGCCTGTTTCTGGCTTATTTCATTACGCATGATCCTTCCAGCTCCATCCATGTTGCTGCAAAAGGCACAAGTTTATCTTTTTTGATCACTGAGTAATATTCCATTGTGTATATGTACCACATCTTCTTAATCTAGTCATCTACTTCTGGGCATTTGTGTTGATTCCACATCTTTCCTATTGTAAATAAACTTGGGGTTACAGGTGTCCTTTTGAATCAATGTTTTTGTGTCCTTTGGGTAGATAACTAGGAATGGGATTGAAGCTCCAGTTTTAGCAGTTTGAGGAACCTCCAAACAGCTTTCTATAGTGGTTGGACCAGTTTGCATTCCCACCAGCAATGCAGGAGAGTTCCTCTTTCACCACGCACTTACTGTTGTTTTTTTTTTTTTTTTTAGTATGTGCCATTCTCACAGGTGTGAAATGGTATCTCAGCAATTCACAATTTTAAAAACTATAACTTTTCTCTTGTTTTGAGCAGTTACTTTATTGTCCATCTTCTGTTGTAGGTAGTTGTCTACATTTTGATTTCGATTCCTGGCTTAGACTATAGACATACTTTAAAATCATTTTGTCTGTTAAGATGACTAATGTCTATGAGGTGAAACTTCAGGATATATGTGTGAAGGTAAAATTCACACATAATATAAAATTAACACCAGTGGGGTAATTTTTCTGCAGAGAGGCATAATGGAGGAGTTAATGAGTTGTTTGGTTTTCTATCTTTTCTTATGACAGACCCAGATATAGCCTTCGTCCCTCTAGGAATGACAGATTACTTAGTCATCGTGGAGGATGATGAATCTGCTATCATACCTTGTCGCACGACCGACCCAGAGACCCCGGTCACCTTGCTCAACAGCGATGGGGTGGTGCAGGCCTCCTATGACAGCAGACAGGGCTTTAATGGCACCTTTACCGTTGGACCCTATATCTGTGAGGCCACTGTCAAAGGGAGGAAATTCCAGACCATCCCATTCAACGTTTATGCGTTAAAAGGTATTGGCACTTCTTGGTCCTCCTTAGGGTGTTACAGGCAAAATAACCGGATACATGTAGGATTAAAGTACAATCATACATCTTCCCTGATGTTGGAGAGCTTGATTCTGATTTGAGGGTGTAGATGCCACCTTTACCATATTGTGTTAGACTGGCTCCTGTGGCCGTCATAATGTTCAACTTCATATTACTAAAGACAAAAGTTTTCTTATTCCTGTAAGATTTCATGTTTCATTAGTTGCCTTTAAAATACTGTAAGGAATTCTTTTATTGCATAAGCCTCTTATAGTTTTTCTCACATTCCTGACTACAGGGGTCTTCAAACAAACACTCCTGTGGGGGGTGGATGCCCAGATTAATTTTTGCAACTTAAGAAGAGCGACTTTGATTTTGAGAGAAGTTGGTGGTTGTTGACGCCATCCCTTTGATGTGAGCAGCTTAGGTGCTTGGGAGAGCTTGGGGACAAGGTTATTGAGCAACATAGGTCTGGCAGCAGGTGAATAAGCTCCTCGGCCCTTAGGAAGTTTATTTTAGGTCAGGCACTGTGCTTGGTTCTAGGGAAGTAGTGAGAATAACTGGGGAGCGGAGTGAATCAAGAAAAACTGGGCGAGGAGAAGGATTAAAATATAAGTGACTACGGGAGAGCTGGTCAGTGAAGGTTGGTTGATTAAAGGAATGTACCCATCAGGGAGATGCAAAAGAGCCCCACCATGATTCGACTGAATGCTCAGGAATGTGGTGTTCTCATTTAATTGCTATTTATTTTTACTATTATTTTATGTGTATAGCATGTGTGTGCACCCATGCACAAATTGCTATTTTGGCTTATTAACTGTAAGCCAAAGTATGTATGCCAACTCAAAATCAAGCCTTCTGAGATTTCCAAATGTTTGTCTTGATCAAAGTGTTTTGCAAATTATTTTCAGGGTTTCTTTTTGAAAAAAAAAAAATCCAGACCCTATGAAGATCCTAACTATGCTATGGATATTTAGGGCCCTGTGTTTGTTCTTTTTTTTTTCCTTAATAGCAACATCAGAACTTGATCTGGAAATGGAAGCTCTTAAAACTGTATATAAGTCGGGGGAAACAATTGAGGTGACCTGTGCTGTCTTTAACAACGAGGTGGTGGACCTTCAGTGGACTTACCCTGGAGAAGTGGTAGGTGCCCTCAAGACTCCTGGTGGCAGAGTGGGCACAGTAGGACTCCAAAGACCTGTCCCTGATAAAGACCTGCCCCTCACACAGCTCATCATTGAGCGTCTCAGCTCTACAGTGGGCTATTAGCAGGCTTTAAAACGCATTTGTTTTGATGGATGCCTTTATGGTCTCTGAGAGGTGGGGAGTTTGATTTGACAAAAACTGGACCAGGCACTTCAGATTGCACAAAGACTGTACACTATACCTGCTCTGTCACAGTGTTTCTTTTCTTTCAGAAATAGGAAGGTTCTATGATTATTACAACCAGGCTATAAGAAAAAAATGGGTTTTCAAGTTTGATAGTTGCTGAGACAGTCCTTCATTCTCATTTTCTTGCCCACCATACCTCTGGGATTGGAAGTGTTTGATAATGTGGATCACCTGTTCCCCTTGCATTTCTGCTTCATTGCTACCTGGAACACAGGTTTCTGCCTCCTCCCTGCCTGTCTTTGTTTCCATGGCTCACTTTCAGTGGACAGGCATAGCTTTAATCATTCAGGAAGATTTGCTAAATCCGAGCACTCTGGTAGAAGCTGGACAGGGAATGGGGAAAGAGGTCCCCATGCCGTCTCTTGTCACTGGGGATTTACACTCATTATCTTCCTCATCCTAATGCTCATGGTGAGTGCGTAAGAGAATAAGAGAAGTGATTGTAAAGGCTAAGACAGTCCATTGCAGAAATGATGAGCCGTGCTGAGTATGGCAGCTTCACAGAGCACAAAGAACCCTTGTAAACTGTAGTTGAACTATGAATCTACAACTGCACACATCGGCAGAGGTAGTTTACATGAGGGTTCCCTCTTAGGAGCTGACTTTTCTAAAGTTGCCTTTCCTCCTTTTCTGCTGCAGAAAGGCAAAGGTGTCACAACGCTGGAAGAAATCAAAGTCCCGTCCATCAAATTGGTGTATACGCTGAAGGTCCCCGATGCCACAGTGAAAGACAGCGGGGACTATGAGTGTGCCGCCCGCCAGGCCACCAAGGAGGTCAAAGAGATGAAGATGGTCACCATTTCTGTCCATGGTATCTTCCGCTTTCTAAAATGTTTGTCACCCGTGCTACTGGGGAGCCTGTTGTGATGATCATGATCTAATGGACACTCTCCTCTGCACAGAGAAAGGGTTCATTGAAATCAAACCCAACTTCAGTCAGCAGGAAGCTGTCAACCTGCATGAAGTCAAGCACTTTGTGGTGGATGTGCAGGCCTACCCCCCTCCCCGGATATCCTGGTTGAAGGACAACCTGACCCTGATCGAGAACCTCACTGAGATCACCACTGATGTAGAAAAGATTCAGGAAATAAGGTAAAGGAGCATACATGCTTCCCAAGCATCCCTCTTTGTATTCTATGACAGTCTTAGGTGTGTGTCTTACCATTCAAACCAAGAGTCCATTTAAAAACTGCCGTGATTTGGGGCTCTCCCTGGTGGTGCAATGGGTTAAATTATGAAGCTCTCTGAAACCGCTGCAGCACGAGTTCCATCTGCGGCCAGGGAGCTGACCCACATGACCCAGCAGACCTCTCCTGGCCCTCCCGCTGCTCCCCTCAGCAGTGTACTTTTGTCAGTTGGCCTGCTCTGCTCCCCACTCTGTCTCGGGTGAATCCTCTCACCCATCATGCCTCTGGGCTGTATTACAGTTCTATGTGCATAAATAAATCTTTAAAAAAATAAAAATAAAAACTGCCGCGATCTGAGTTAGGATTACCTTTACTGATAACATTGCAATGTGGACATGGTGGACAGCTGAATAATTAGCAACAAGAGAATAAAGAGCTGAGGAGGTGATGCCGCAATGAACGACAGGTACCTGCATCCCACGAGGGGCGGAGAGAGGAACCTAACATTGGACACAGCTGAATTGAATATACCCCTAGTGTCCATTATCTGTATTGCAAGTAGATACTTGTGATTTCTATTGCGGGGCAATCATCACAAACATTTACATGAAATAAAACATCATTATCTTAATTTGAAACACATTTGCCCTATTGGTGGCCTGCACAGGAAATAAGATAGAGCCTGGTTAACTTTGGTTAGTAGGACATGCACAGTGAGTAGTTCAGGCTCCTGCTCTCTTCAGAGAGCAGACTGTGCTCATCTCTTAACTAATAGCAGGGTTTTGGGTCATCTGTCAGCCTGTTTCCTCATCAAAATCTACAGTTAATCCTATCTGTGTCCTTCAAGGCCCTTGCCTTGGGTCAGATCAGATTGATGAAATATACTGCTGTGGGGAGTAGGCGCGACAGGAGAGGTCTGCTGCACTGTGTGCGTCACCTCTGGGGCCAGGAATCGAACTTGCACTGAAGCTACTGTGGCTGGCTTGCAGTTGCTGAGTCCTAACCCGTTGCGCCACCAGGGAGAGCCCTGTTGCAGACTTTTGAGCTCTGATTGGAATCCAAGAACAGAAGGCACATCTTGAAGGACCAGGCTTATCCAGCCCTTCACCGTGTCAGCAAAAGGGACAAAATTCAGTTGTGTATTTCCAGCCTTCTGGGCAGAGGACAGAACCTCTCTCTTCTGATGACTTAGCCCCCCCCCCCCCAGGGCTGTTTCCTTCTTTTTATATTAAGTCCCATCTGTAACTGAGAGACAGTACTTGAGCCAGTGAGATTGTACAACCTCTGCTGTAGAATGGTGATGGAAAAAGAAGGGGCACACTGAATCTGGAAGGTGTTCAGATGACCCAAAATGAAGATGCGTGAAGAGGTGGGCGTGGCGAGCCCTCCATGAGCTGTGAGGGCAGGGAGGGGCGAGGTGGCGGCACGGCCGACGCTAGCACTAGTGTGCTCTGCAGCAGCTCAGTCAGGAGACTAACAGGACAAAGCTGGCCAACTGGGTGGCCCAGGGGTCTGCCCGACTCAAGAGTTCCTCCAGCACACACTCTTCCTGCCATTATGGAACGGAAGGATGAACATGACAGATGGGGCGTCTGGCTTCCTGGAACGTAGAACTCCATGGGCTTTCTTGGCTGAACATGTGGGCAAAATGAGGACAGAACCCCATTTGGCAATCAGCAGCCTGGCGGGCCTTAGAGGACTTTAAGGAAATGTGGGCCTGAAGCTTGTCCAGGAGGGGGCAGCAGAGGAAAAACCAGGCCAGCATGCGCCCCCAAATGCTGGGCATTTCTTCTAAGTACTTGCAGAATACTTCTAAGCCTTCAAAATACTTGCACACATTTCATTAAACTAATTCTTGAAATGACTCCATGCTGTGCATACAGTGACCCCTTGTTACACGTAAGGAAACTGAGGGAATTTCAGTAATGTGTAGGGTGGGCTCATGCCACCACCAGTGCTCCTGTGTTCCCATTGCTTTTCCACTCCATGATGTACCAAAAAGAAAGACATTCTGGGCCCTCCCTGGTGGCACAATGGGTTAGGACACAGCACTGCAAGCCAGCCGCAGCCGCTTCAGTGAGAGTTCCATCCTGGGCCCCGGAGGTGACCCACATGGCGTGGCAGACCTCTCCCCACCTGCCAGCTGCTCCCCTCAGCAGTGAACTGTTCTGCTCCATCTGCCTGTTCTACTCCCCACTCTGCCTCTGGTGAAGCCTGTCATCCCTTGCACCTCTGGCTTGTACCCCAGTTCTGTATGCATAAGTAAGTAAATCTAAAAAGAAAGGAAAAAAAGAAAAGAGGGAAGACAATCTGATGGCTGTCTGCTTTACTGACAGATGCGAGTGCCTGGCCAACAAATGTGTTCGTTGTTTTGACAAGAGAAAAACAAAAACAATTGAAGACTAACGTTGATTGTAAAGAAGAGACCTAGCAAAATCCAAATAAATCCCAGTCAAATTTTATTCCTATCATATATAAGAAAACGTTTGGGAGAAATTCCCTTAAATAAAGCCTTAGGAGAGCATGGCAGAGCGTGGTGGAGGAATGTGGGAATTTTTGTGGCAGGAAAACTTGGTGACCCCACCTGAGGGGAGAAATCCTACAGCGTGAAAAAATAATAAGGGTTTTTTTTTTTTTAATAAAAAAGGTATGAAGAAATAATATTTATAGCAACTTAAAGACATTCAATAGAAAGTATCTAGTTTCTACAAATATAACTAGTCAGATAATGGAATCTGGAGCTTTAAAAACATTTAAACATAAAGATGGTGCACTGTAAGAAGCCTTAGCCTATTCTGATCATCCCACCTGCCCTATCCTCTTCTTCACTGCCACAGGGAAATGCTTTTATTGGTTTCATTACTTCCACTGGTTGAAACATCTAAGTAATGGGTATTTAGGGAAGCAGGTTTTTTTTTTTTATTTTATAACAGTTTATTTTTACATCATTTTATACATTTTTTTTCCATCTCAATTGTAATCCCCGCGGGTTCCCCATCACCATGTCACCCGTGTGCCATC